TGACACTCTGGCTCAGACACAAGAATGTTTTGACGATTTTTAGCATTCGTTTAGGATTTTCAAACAACCTGGTCTCTTTTAAAATACTTTTAATTTGTTCTTACGTGGTTTTCCAGATGTAGTGACGACAACATTAAGTTTAAAGAAGAAAATTCTAACATTTAAACCGACTAAACAATAACATAGTAAACTTGCATAATTAAACAGCAACTAAAAATGATAGGTTTTACTAAATCTTTTCTTGTGCAATTATTACTACCATTGGAGACAAGGATAATAGTTTGTTTGAAAGAGAAAAGAACAGGCTTTGAAGTAAGCCTAAAAGCGTTTAGCTATAAATAGTATTTCGAAAGTTATTAAGCACAAAAATGAATTGCGTTTATTTTGATACACCCTGTATATATATATATATGATGAATTGCGTTTATTTTGATACACCCTGTATGTATATATATATATATATATATATATATATATATATATATATATATATATATATATATATATATATATATATATATATATATATATATATATATGGGCCTGATGAGCAGGATTAAAGGGCATATAAAAGTTCGCTTTTTCACAGCTTCGAGACCAACTCGCAATTAGGGCCTGGGTCCAAGTGATGACGTAGGAAGTTGTACTCGATTGGCATGCACATTGATATATTTTAATCACTTTTCGGCTTTGGAAGAGAAATTTACATTGTAATTTACAAGTTGCGCGCTGTATAGTTGGTTTATTATTTGTATCTGTAAATCGTTAAGCTAAAACGTTGTTTGGAGTATCTGATCTCTGACTTTGCGAAGAAATGGCAATGGAATACACCAACGATTCGGAAAACGAAAGCATGTCGTGTTCGTCTTCAAGCATGTTGGATACATCAGACCATGAAGACAACAGTGAAATTTAAGACATATTAGCCGGGTCGTACCAGCGTTATGCCCACGAACCATTAGCGGAAAGTTCTGACGAGAATGAACAAGAAAAGGTTGATATTAACGGGATTCTTCTACAGGAAATTGAAGACCGACACGAAGGAATACAAATGATTGAGAATTGGTGTTGTTGTGGCCATTGCGGCACGCGTTTGTTATGTGGCCCAAGAGAATATAGATGTTGTCACGAGATAGATACAGATAATGTTTTTAAGTCCGAGCCAACACTGAAAGAACCTGTTAAATGCGTTACCGAACATCCTGATTTTGACGCTGTTGTATTACATCCCCGAGTTCTGAAAGTTGCAGCGAATGGGTTGAGAACATGGCAGGGTAAAAGGTATACGCAACATGGCATGCAGCGACGAAAATGGCTACTTAAAAGCAATCGCTTACAGACTTTGCATATCGATGGTGTTTGGGTTCATGGGAGTTGACAATTCGTGACCGCATCCTGCTTGTGTATACACAACAATTCGAACTAGGTTTCCAAAGGAGAAAAACACAGAATATACTGGATATAGGTCTGCAGAAGAGAGGTAGACTAACTTTTGGACATTTCATAGGTTTCAAAGTTGTATATATTTACCCACACTTACATATTTTATATCGAAACTAGGACGTTGAACTTTGATAGGTTTATTAAGTATTTAATAATTCCTTTTTTATTACATTTTGTAAATAAAAATAAATAAACTACATGTTGATATAATTAATGCATGAGTCAATGCAAGTATGATTTTTATATCCATTGAGTATTCTGAATGTAGTAGATGTGAAATTTTTGCGTTTGTTCTCATGCGTAACATAAACTAATCACCATAATATCAATAAAACAAAATTACATGTATGGAACAGTTCATTAGTTATTTTTGAGTTTAAATTATTAGCATTGTCCACGCTTGTGACCTTTCATGTTTTTTTTGCACTTTGTACAGCACCATATCTTTGGTACGTTGGTAGGTTCTGGTCCAGAAACTGTCAGTTGAAGCTGCTCTTGTTCACTCACTATAATATAATAAAATTGAAATTAACCCACTAAGCTGCCATGTGGAGGTTCCAGGGCTGTGCGCAGCCTTGGCCAACGGGGTGCAAGTGGAAGCCAAATTCTTTTCAAGTCTTTGTTTTGATTTTGCAAAGCAATTATCAAACAAAAATAAAATAGAGACAAAATGAGAAAATAACATGATTATAAAAGGATATAATTTCATATAACAATTCGAATTGTCAGGTAATTTCCCATGTAACACTACATGAAGTATTTCGTATTTATGTCATTTTGTGCCAAAAAGGCCCCAAATCCCAATTGATTCAGCAAGTAATGCCAAGTATTATAATGTAATACTATAAAACAGCAAGTATATCGTCATTTATAATCCTATAATGGAAGTGCTGCATTGTGAATACAGCAGATGAAGATGACACTATTGAAAAAACAAGATTGAAAGAGATATATATTGCCGTCCATGGTATTGTACTAAATTGTAAATAATCTGTTGAATTTTAGTATTTTATTATAATCATGTCAGATTGTCAGTAGCCTTCAGGCAGTTGGAGCAATGTAGCAATTAAATTTATAGCAACTGTACTTACAAAAGGGGTATAACTGGACAGTAATTTCTTGGGTTTTTTTTATAATTTTCAATGGCAGTAATGCGGTCCACTTTGTTGCTAAATTGTGAGCTAAGTGGAGCAAGAACATTCTTTAAAAACTTAATCATTTTGAGTTTCATAGCTGCCTTGGTATCTTTAAACAAGCAATTCCTTAAATCAACCACATAGTTCTAGGTGGGGGAACAGGAACAACTCGAACCAATTCATCGCCATTTTTATATTTCGGGTAGTGAATACTGTAGTAGGTTTTTCCATCCTTATTCTTTTTTGCTTCCCTCTTGATGTTCTCACTAAAGCGAGCAACAGCCAATATATGTCTGGAGATGGAGAAAATAGAAATTGACTACAGGTGACGGATCTGGAATAGCAGATAAGTTACACGAATGTGACATGTATTATATTATACCTGCAATATGTCCCTGTGTAGAAATAGACTGTCATCTTGGGGTGGAACTGGTTAATGTGGAGTGGAATGCTTCCAAATGGCTGGTTTGAACTTCAGGAGATAGCTTTCTCACGTCATTTAACATTTGGGTTCTTCCACATATGGCTACAACTTTATCGTAACTATCAGTACCTATAATATATTGCGACAGTATAAACAGCCTCATAGCGTCATTCCATAAAACATTCACACCCCTTATCTTCCCCCACAGAGGATAAGGGAAGTGACCCCACTCCCTTTGAACATCTTATACATCATGAAGTATATATTCTTAGTATATATACTTACCCATTCGTATCCATTTTCTGTTTGGAAGTTCTTCATGAATACATTTCTGAAACAATGGATCCGGATGGTTTGTGTGGAGATTTGCAATGTGCCTTGAACATGATTTCCACTTTCCCAAGATGATCTGCCCATAGCCAGACTTTGTGGAGCAAGCACACCAGTACAAGTGATTTCTGATTGGCTTTATCCACTGTAGAACTGCTTCACAACCTTTATCTTTAGCTACCTTTGCCAACTTTTTTTGTTATACTTTTTGACACATGCCATATGTCGTAGAAATGCTTTACCAATGGGTATGCTGCCCTCAACCACTTTGCTATCCCTCTGTGCCTGTCAGGAATATTTGTACTTTCACTCTTCAATCTGTCAGAAACTTAAAGGAACGTTTTGCACCTTCCAGTTCCATATATGGCTTGGCTTGAACCAGTTTCATTAGCCTGAAATTAGAAAATGATAGGATACAAGACTGTAGTACAAAATAAAATTAGCTCCCTGCTAATGACGTAATTTTAAATTTGAGTTCCATGCCATGTACACAACGCTATAACCTTGGCGAGTAAAATCGCCTATGTTAGAGTAAGAGAATAAATTTGGGTACGTTCGGGTGTATTTAATTACGGCTCAATGAATTAATTTGAAAATTGTTTTAAACTCATAGTCAGGTCCTCGACTATTTTGAATATGCATAAACTGGACAATGCCAGTTACCTGTAGCAATTCAAAGTGCATAATTTTTCCCAGTGATGCATTCATCATAGTGTATGCACCATACTTCGCTGAATGCCCCATCGAGTCGAATCTACCTTCACCAGCCCAAACACTTTCTTTTGCTAAACGAGCTTTTTCAATCAGTCCCAAGCGTGTTGATTCCCAAAAGTTAATTATAGTTGGGAACAGCACCCACTTTAGATGAGCAAAGAATGTCCGGGCCGAGTACACACAAAGGCCAATATGGGGGAACACCAGCAGTGTTTTGCTGACACTTGCACCAGAACATAGAATGGCAAATCTCAAAAGTAGATTACCAGCAGCATGTCGACCAAATACAAATGGCTGGCTATGCCATTTGAAAGGCTGTACTCCATCTTTCTGGCATTCCTTGCAACACTGCTCTATGGTGACCATTGTGCCAGATTTTGAGACTTGAAGCAAGGGTTTTTCTGACTTGTAATTGAAACAGAACATCGAGAAGTTGGAGACCAAGCAAGAAAGAAAAACTGGGAATTTTGGTTCTTCTTGAGGTGAGGCAGTAGAATAATCCTATAAACCACAACGTATTAGACCGGTATTAGTAAGGATATGGCAAGGTATTAGTAAGGATTTGGCAAATTAAAATATTTCTACAGTTTTCAAAGTATTGTACCTAACTTGATTCTTTTCGTTGAATTCTACTGTATCTTTTCTGTCATCTAGGTCCAACTCATCTTCAACATTCCAGTCAGGATCATTCCTCAGACTACTCATATCGTCTGCTTCTGCCAGGTAGTTGTCAAGCTCATCCAGATCAACAGCGACGTTTCCATCAAATTCATCAGGCAAATACTTCACCTCTTTCTGCTCGTTCGAAGAATCAAACATTGCAAAGGGTGAGGCTGGGTGTGAAGAGGATAAATTTGATTTCACTTGTTGTTGAAGGCGCCTTATAGTCCTCCTATAATTTGAGCACCTTTGCTGGGAAGTTTTTAACTTTCGTTTACAAGTAAACCATTCGTCTGACTCTTCAGCACGTTTATAACTTGCTCGCCATGAGGAAAGGATTGGTCTTGAGAAAGGAACACCGTCGACCTCCTTTCATCGCCACAGGAACCTTCGACTTGGTTTTCTGCCATGGCCACGCTTTCGTCCAGAATCTTTGGCCCCTTAGTTGACTGACATACGTCTCGGAGAAGCTGCCTTTTTGCACGTTGGACTTTGGCGGCAGGAATTTGTGGTGTAGTAGGCTCAAGTGTAGCAGTTTGGGGAAAGGATTTCGAAGCAATATCATAATCTTCGATTGTCGGTATTGTCCCATGCGTGAGATATCTCTTGCAGGAAATATTGCTTGACGAGCGATCAGGCGCGGTTGGTATGTCAATATTCAGCCGTTGAGTAAAATCATTGCCTTGAAAATGGGCAGAACATATCGCAGAAGACGTTGTTGGATTCCAACCCGGTCTATGCTTTCTAACGAATTTCGTCCATGCAGCACGTTGTTTATCATCACGAGGAAACATATGCATCGAAATCCCTTTTGAATAACTTGAATTTTTGCACGATCTTGCGTTAGCAAAACCAGTAACGCAATACTTTCCTCCCTTTTCAGTCATGTTTGTTAACAGTACCCAAAAGCAAAAAGAATTGATGAAAATCCTGCTAAAATATGTAAATATTTCTTGAAAGAGCGTGTTTTGCATTTATGGCTGTACAACTTCCTACGTCATCACTCCGATCCAGGCTCCTTGTGTAAGTTGGGCTCGAACATTTTGATATGGACGTGTTTTGAGGGCATATTTCACCGCTTTAACGAAGTTGAAATGAAAAAAGAAGTATTTTACTGAAACGAGCGGGTATTAAAATCCTAGAATAGTTGAAAAACTGAATAAAAATATTTACGCTTCATATGCCCTTTAAGGTAGCTACTATTAATAGTCACCTTCGATTTATATATATATATATATATATATATATATATATATATATATATATATATATATATATATATATATATATATATATATATATATATATATAT